GAGCAGATTGAAGCCTTTCGTCATCCAGTTGTTTGTAGAAAGAGAAAGAGAGACAATAAAAACAATCAAGCTAATGGAAAGTATCAAGCTTGTTTTAATTTATCATGTGATTAAGTGATTTATTGCTTATTGTGACAGGCTTAGTCAGAAGCCTTCAAAAATGTTGTGTCCAGCTGCATCCCGTTTTGCTTCCATTATGTATAAGATCAGATCAGAGTTGTAGAAAATGATTTAAAAAATTGAGTCTCCACCGCAAAAATCTTTCAGCAAATTGACTCAAAGAGGGTGAAAATGAAAGTACGTCACACTTTTCAGATATTTATTGAGTAGAAATTTGGAAAACCATCTATGCTTTTCCTGCCATTTAACAAGATTGACCTACATTTCGTTTGTGTGTTACATAAAATCCTGTTAAAACACATGAGGAACAAAACACATGCTGGGTTTTGAAGAGCAGGAGCTGCTGCTCTGCAGGTTTTTCTAGTCAAAGTCTTTCCACAAAATTCTCGTGAAATTAAATTATTTTTCCTTCTTAACTTCAGTATAAAAACACAAAATCTTATCAAGTATTTTTGGTCTGATATATTAGTACACTTGAAGTAAGACAATAAATTACAATCAACTCTTCTGTAAGAATTAGAAGGTTAATCAACATTTTCTTAATATTGATGAGTATGGCAGATTATTTCACTTTTAATAAGTGAAATTATCTGCTATTGTAACGAGTACTTTTTCATCAAAATTAAGGAAATATTGACTCTTAATTCTTGCTGAAAAGTTACTTGCAAGTTATTATCTTATTTCAAGTGTACTGCGATATTTCTACTAGAAAGTAGAGCAGAAATCCTTGGTAAAATTTTGCGTTTTTTCAGTGTTGCAAAAGGATGAAAATGCAAGATTTCTGACTGCAACCAACAGCCAACACCTTCACCTGCTCCAGTTGTTCTTTGTTTTTGATTACATGCATTTATATTTCAAAAAGATGGTGAATTAAATAATAATAAATGAATAATAATCTGTAACACATTCAAAAAGATGTGACGTTTTCTGCCAGAGAAGCCTTAAAAACACAAAGCAAGTCTTCTTTGTATGTCGCAGTTGAAATGGTTTAGAAAGTTTCCTGCTTCACAGAAGACAAAAACAGCATGAAGAGTTTTAGGAAATTCAATCAAACAGCAGAAAGGTCATGCTGGAGGTCAGTGTGAGGGTAGAAACAGAGGCAGCGGATTCTCAGGAAAGAAAAGAAAAACTCTGGCCGTGAACCGCTCATCCTCGCAGCATAACAAACGCACGCCGTTGAAATTGTTAAGAGACTGAGATGAACGTCCTTCTGCGCTCTGCCTCGATGTCGAGAAGCTGACTTTGTTTCCACTGCGAATCGAGGCCGAGTTAAAGTGCGGTCGGGGAGCGGTTCTGATGTGAAGGGTTCACATCAGAGAGCTGAAGCAGGCTGGACTGAAAAGAGGGTGAGTCATCTGAAAACAAACTGCAAGGACTCAACACTGAACGGCGGAAAGTGTTAAATCAGCCTCTGACAGCTGACAGACAAAGCTAAGCAGTGAAAACTACAGAGATATTTGTAGATTATGAAACTGTTTGAGGCTGCTGAGCCTCGCTTCTGGCGTTAAGGACCAGCAAACTCAGCAGGGAGATGTGAAGTTATGCTTTGGGTTTTTAGTAGGAGTTATTTTTACTTCTCATATTTACTTCATGTGAGAAGTTGATTCAGGCTCTAAAATGACACAATTTGTACACAGCAAAGTTAAAGTATTTAAAAATAATCTGGAGACCAAACCTGCATCTCAGTTAATTAGAATATTATCAAAAACTTTAATTATTTAACTAATTAAATCCAAAAAGTGAAACTCATTTAAAGATTTTTTACATGCAAACTCAAAAATGTTAGATATGAATTTTGACAATTAAAGCCTAAAGCTAATGAAAACTGAAAATTCAGAAAAATTAACAAAAAGAAAATGAAAAAAAATATATATTTTTTAACACAAACATATTATCAACAGAGTTAAGTGGAAGGAGGGCTAACCACAAGGGGGAAATGCTTAAAAAGCTGGCTATTCACCATGCTGTTCTTAAGCATAATAATGGAAAGTTAAGTGGAAGGAAAACTTGTTAGGAATTGGGAAATTATGGTACCTAACTTTTTAGAACGAGCTCAGAGACATAAAATCCAAGTCATGACGATTCCATAGTGTGTGATGGTTTGGGTCGCCATGTCATCTGCTGGTTCTGGCCCGCTGGGTTTTCTGAAGTCCTCAGTCAATGCAGCATCTACCAAGAAACACTAGAGCACTTCATGCTTCCTTCTGCTGACAAGCTGTATACAGAGATGCTGATTTTATTTCCCAGCAGGACTTGGCACCTGATCACACTGCCATTGGAACCAAAAGCTGGTTAAGTGACCACGGTTTTGAGACACTGTTATCGATTGGCCAGCAAACTCCCCTTACCTTTAACCTCACAGAAAATCAATGGGCTGTTGTCAAGAGGAAGATAAGAGACACCAGATCCAACAAGGCAGCTATCAAAGCAACCTGGGTTTCCATTATACCTACGCAGCGCCACAGGCTGATCACCTCCATGTCACGCCGCACGGATGCAGTAATTCAAATATCGAATGCATAGAAATACACATATCATATTTTTGCTTAAAACATAATTTTTTGATGTGATATTCTAAGTTTCTGAGACACAGAATTTTGGGTTTTCTTTAAAGCCACAATCATTAAAATTGTGAAAAGTAAAATCTCAAAATATTTACTCCATAAGTACTGAATCTCATTTCTGAGATGACAGACAAGGAATATTTAAGCAGTGTTAAATATTTTGAAACGTCGTAGTTACTTGATTATGCTGTAAAATGGCGCCAGGTGACAGGAAGTACACAATGACCTGTGCCTTTTAAAAGTCATGCCAACTAAAATTGTCTGCCAACAGTTCTTTCGGTTCTTTCAAATTAATTTTCTTTTTCAGATGAAGCAGTGAAATCTTCGCTCCCCGTCCCCCTTTCTCTTTCTCCACGTCATTTTCCACCCATGGGAAATCTCAGCGGATTTAAACTGTGTATCCTCACATTGTTCATGTGAAGCGCTGTTAGCGGCAGCCGGCGTAAACAATAAACCAAGCTAGAAAAACAACTAATAACTGTCATTTCCTCACTCCCGCTTTCTCACTTTATATTATCTGCATTTATTTTTCACGTTTTGAATTTTGTAGGCGTTATCTTTGCTTCCAGTCTCAGAGGTTGGAGCTGCAGTCATAATGTCAGGCCCCAACTGCAGACAGTGACGGATATTTGGGTCTAAGTTTAGTTGTGCAAAAACAGGAGGCCAAAAATAGCCAGTTGAACCGCGGAGGCTCGCCAAGTGATAAGGATCTGCTCTCCATTGTTGGGTTTTTTTGAGGGGTGGAGCAGTGATTCAAAGACTTTACGTTCTCATTAGCTGTGTTGGTGTGTGTCTGTGTGCTGTTGCTGCTGCATTCTGGGCGTCGCTCCACGACTCTTCATGTGTGTTTGATAATACGAGGCAGTGTTTGCTGTGGAGCTATTTCACTGTAGCTGCTTAAAAGACCTAAATTTCAAATCTTCGCCTGGATATATTTTTGCTTAATTTAATTGTACGCAGTTCTTTAAATGTCCTGCGAGTAAATATATTTGCCCATTTATCCATAAGAACTGGAACTTTAAATATCTAGCAAGTTATTTTCGCAATGTACCGTGCCCCTCGAATTAATTACGCTTCCTGCTATGGCGGGGGTGAAATTACCGAAATAACTAGATATTGGCTGGAGGGCGCAACGTATCTGGGTCAGAAACCGTTGGAATTTTTCAGATGGCGCAAAGTGTGTCGGAATTACGGTACTGGAAATTTGGCTGGATCCTTCTGCGCTCCTTTCGGTCAGGGTTTTAATAACACACTAACAATTTAACTCTAGAACTAAAAAAATAATAAAATAAGCTGCTTGATTCAGATCCGTCAGCCATCGTCTGTTTTTTTATGTCTATTTAATTTTTACTTGACTTTATTTTTTTTTATCAAGTGATAAGTGCAATATAAGAAATTATAGTCTTTTTTTAAGTGACATTGTTTTATTTGGATAATTGCACCCAAGTTTTGTTGTGCAATGTTTCATTGATAATAACGATTCTGTTTTTATTTTATTTCTTACATATGGAAAACAGTGATATATTTTTACACTTGTTCTACTAGATTTTAGATTAATTTGTGACAAATTTACTGTAAAAACATGACTAATACATAAAACTAATCTCTTAAACACACCGTACATATGATTAACATAGATATTTTACCTGTTTTATAATTTAGCAATAAAATTTAGCTTTATTAACCATATACAAAAACCGATCTCTACAAAATAACAACAATTAAATAAAACATTATAACATAAAGTGATGGATTGCATAATGGACACAACATGATGTCATGATCAGGTTTTAGACAATGGAAGAAAAACTTTGAATGACCTTCAAAAATCCTGGAGAACTATTGATCAAGACCAACTTTAAAATATTTAAAAGGGTCATCCTATGCAAAGGTACAAAGAAATTAGACTTCTTCAGAGTACAGTTTCTTTTTTTATTCCCTGCCAATATTATAAGCAAAACTTACAATATTGTTTATTAATCATAAACATTCTTGTTGTTGGAATATTTTCTACCAATTTGAAATTTTCCACAACTCTCAGATCCAAAACAACCAAACATGGAGAATCAGCTTCTATGTGCCACGAATCTGGAACAAACTTCCTGAAAACTGCAAAACAGCCGAAACACTGGCTTCCTTTAAATCCAGGCATATTGATACACATTCTGATGTGCAATAACGCCACTAGACAAAATGTTATGCTTCAACTGTTGACTATGTGTTTCATGAGTTTGTATTTTTTTTGTGATTTTATGATTTAAAGCACTTTGAAGTGCCAAATAAAGTTGATTGATATTTTTTTTTTCTCGTTGACAGCAAGCTGCGCCACCAAGCACAGAGTGAACGCTTTGGATACAGAGAGGTAAGGCAGGAAGTATAAACTAGCAGCATGGCGAATCCCACACATCACATTTCAAGGTGTGCGTTTGTTACCTCTACAGGTGGTGCTGAAAGGAGATCCGAAAAAATTAAATCTTCATGGGGTAGGTTTAATTTCTGCCTGGTGTTTGGGGGTAGTTTTGCAATGACTGTCAGTTCTCACTTTGTTTCGTCTGCGACTCTTGCAGCAGACGTGCGCCGTGTGTCTGGAGGACTTTAAAGTGAAAGACGAGCTGGGGGTGTTACCATGCCAACATGCCTTCCACAGGAAGTGAGTAGAAGCACAGTGGACTCTTTCTTCGTGCTTGCTCGCCACCTCACACGCGACTTGCTAAAGCTAAATCTGTCTGGGTTGTTGGGGAGGTCAGAGGTCAGAAGCAAGAGACAAGGGTTTTTAAGGCTTTAACATCGTGTGATTGGGAATTAAATAAGATTGCTTAAGAACAGCTAACTAATCCATGACTCTTATGTTTTGTTTGTTTGTTTCTCTTCTCTTTAAAGGTATGTTGTGCATTGCCCATATAGCTAGATGCCACTTTTGTTTTCAGGCAGAAAAATGCAGGATGGAAACCAGGGCCAGGATTCACTACTTATGGTACAACAAGCACCAAATTAAAACAGATTACCAGTGATGTACTCATTCAAACTTAACATTTAGTTGGCCTTATTACCAGTCGACATAAAAAAGAAACTGAATGAACAATGTTTCATTTACCAGTTCCACTGATAATAGGTGATGTTTATATGATTCCTTAAATTAAATACATTTCTAAAAAGATTACAAAACATATCATAATGCCAATTTCAATACTAAAGAAGAAGAGAAAAGTAGACCAGTGCATCATGATAAAACAAACATTTCAAATAGAGAGACAACTAAATCTTGAAAAATTAAAGATTGTGTATCAGTGACAATGTCGCCAATCTATATGGGCTGATCTATTTAGTCTAATTCTATACTTTTAGCTCTGAGTGACGTCAAACTTTATAATTTATTTTACATTACATTTAGAATTCCTAATTGCACTGGCTGAACAAATTAAAGTTGTGTTGTCTTTACATGTTTGAACAAACTATTGGTTTATTTAAGCGTGCTGTACTGGTGCAGAGTTATTAAATAAATTTATAATTCAGTACATTTATGTCTGTGTTTATTTTATTATTTTTTTTTAAAGACACGTTTTAAGTCAATTCACCACTGTTTTTTCTGTATTGGATCGATACCGACCGATACTAAACCTCAGATATCCCTGGTTACAACTCCATTTCTAAAAGAAAAGGAAATAAATAGTAAGAATTACAAATAAATAAATGAAATAAAAATATAATAATAAAGTGTATTTACAATAAGAAAGTAGTTTTATCAAGCTTGGTCATCCCAACTTTGCCACCACAGACTAAATTGTTCCGTTTTATGATTAACCATCCAATCATCTATGGTTGAAAACAGTTTTCTTGTAATGCTAATGTTATTCTCTATTGACATGTGTTTCTTCTTCTTTGCAGGTGTCTTGTAAAATGGCTGGAGGTGCGCTGTGTGTGCCCCATGTGCAACAAGCCCATAGCGGGTCCCCCGGAGCAGCATCACAGCATTGGGACGCTGCTTGATGAACTGGTATAGCCTTTGAAGTCCTGCCAGCCTGGGTGGGAGGCCGGTGCTCAGCCACATCATGACCAGCGAGAGCAGGGACACACCGCTGACACACAGCGAAGCACCAACACAGGGTAACCTAGATACCACCTGGAGAAAAAACCCCTGAAGGTTGCTGCGAGATTTTCCTCAGCCGCCCACACACCCCTCTGCCACTCTTCCTTCAGCATCCCTCCCTCCCTGCACCCATTCTTCCACATCCTCGGCTGCTGCCTGCAACGAGGCTCCACCGAGGTGGAGGAGGCAGATGTTTCACCGCCGCGTGGACCAAAATGAGCGTTGACAGGAAGAAACGCACTTTGTCGATGAGTCGCCTCTCCAGCCCTGCATGTCATCACGGTGGGCACAGGCATGAAATTATATCCGTACCCGCCGAATCCCGCGTGGAAAAACAACAACACCAGCAGACAACGCCTTTCAGATGAGGAGATCTGAGGGGGAATAAAAGCCACATGCAGACAAAAATCTGCAAATTTTTGTCTGTAAGTCTGTAAATTGTGAAACAAAAAACATAAAAAGGACAGATAGAATAAGAGCAACGAACTTTTCTAAAGACTAAATGTAATCCCCTGTTGTTAAAAGGTATTTAAAGATTATTTCAGTGTAATTTGTGGGTCTATATGATTAATTTCCCTTTTTCCAATGGGAAAAAGTCTTAAGCACACTGTCAAAAAACGTCTCCAATTGCCAAAAACAGTAAATTTTACTGTTGACTGTATAAATGCAGCTGCCAGTATTTTAAATTAGATGTTTTTTTATAGTGCAGGAAAATACAACTAATTTCATGAAGTCCAATCTTTATCCTGACACCCACAGTTATGGATATTGTAAATTATTCAGATATTCACGAAACATTTATTACTGCCCAGATATGTGTTTGTGTTGTTGAGATAGATGGAAGAAATCACAAATTTTCTCACTGTTATAAACAATAATTAAAGCTTTTTAGAGGACTAAGTAAGGTTTACATAAACACACTTTAAAAAGATAGATTAAAAGTTACTCTTTTATTTAATTTTATTTGTTTGTGAGATAAATTGCCTTCACCTCCATTTATTGGGAAACAAATCTGCCTCACCTTCCTTCTTGTGGAACTGAATTCTTGTTTTATTCAGTATTAGTTTAAATAACCTTTTGGTTGTAAAGAATAAATTTCACATGTTAAGAAAATTGAAGTTCTAATATCAAGAATAAAGTTGAGTTGAATGTTATTTTTATATTAAGTTGAAATACTATTTCAAGGTAAAAGTGAGACTTATTGAAATTATTTTTTCCCCTTAAGTTGTATGATTTTATTTTAAAAAGAAAGTTGATCTTGAAATGTTCTTTTCTTGTTTCTTTAAACTGTGAAATAAGCAGTTTGTTTTTCTTCACATAACCCAAATTCACCATTTTAAATTCATTAAAACAATGTTGATAATTTTTACAGGTTGCACTAATTGCAGAAAACGTTCTAATTGTATAATTTGAAGAGGTTGAGGAAGGAAAACAGAAATCCAGCCTTACTGTGTTATTTTTTTGTCATGATTCTCCTTTGCATTCCTCCCTAGTTGTCTTTTAAATCTTAAAAGCGTAATACTGCCTGAATTGAGCTCAACACTCACAAAGCACATTGTTGTGTCGCAACAGACACCTGCACTGTGATTAAAATGTTGAGTGAAGTAAAAAAAGAAGATGATGGGGTAAAAGGTGACTCTGTTGTATTTTTGACAAAAAAAGTAATAAAAATGTTCACTCTGACTCCAGTCACATTCTACCTTTTGTAAAACAACAGATGTAAATACTCGAAACAAGTAAAATAAATAAAGTTGTTTGCTCAGCTTTTTGCTTGGTTCTTTAGCCGTGAATGTGGCGCCATCTTCAGGTGAAATGTTACAACGGTAGAAAGCCCATTAGGACCCTTTGCTTTTTTTTACCTGCATGACTAATTAAAAACAAGTTTTAAAAATGTTACCCAACACCTGAAGTTGTCTTGTAATATTTTTTTTTTACATTATGTATCACAGATTGTTAAAAGACAGAGAGAAGACATTTATATTTTCACTTCTGCATAGTTTATTAGTAGAAATATGTGAATAACAAAACATGTTTTATTTTTTTTTTTTTATTGCACCACTTTTAGATGTTCATATGAGAGCTGCAGGCCCAACTTATAGCATTGATTTTAGACGCACTCTTATATGCATCTTGTTACATCATATAAATGCTATGTATTGTGTCTAGGGCTGAAACGATTCCTCGAGTGATTCGAGTACCTCGATTATTCAAATTCCTCGAGGAAAATTTACCTGCCTCGAAGTTTCATGTTTTATTGTTATTATTTTATTATGTTTTATCATTTAGCGCACCGTGTTCCGGCCGGGACATTATTAATGTTGCGCGGAGTTGTAACTTCCGCCTCTGAGTTGTTGACGAAAGCTACGTTTTAGCAACATAACGTCCAATATTCAAGTTCGGCCCGTGGGGATTTTATTGATTGATAATACTGCCCGGGTTTTCATCGTTTTTGGGGGACCAATAAGCATCCTTAAAATGACTGGCACGATGCCTGGAGTACGGCAGCCTTTCTCCTCCGGGAGCTGCTGGTTTAAAGCGAACGGCGGGAAGAGCGCTGCAGGTAAGCGGGTAGACTGAACATGGCGGGCGGCTGAGTAGTTGATGATTATAGTGCAAGTGTAGCTTACCGCGCAATAAATTTCATAACATCCCGGTCTGAACAAACGGGTGGCGGAGCGCACCCGCGGTACAAGGCTGGTAGATGAGTTTTTGAGTGTGACTGACGTAAATATCTCGTAAATATCCCGTAATGTTCCCCGTCATCCCCCCACCCCTGTTCTTACGTTCGTCCCCTGGTCTAACGGTCGTGTCTTTCTTCCCCCCCTACCCCAG